CCTTTGGGATTTGGCATTCGGGGGTCCTTGTCAATGACCCTCCCTCACAGATGATGAGGCAAGAGCATCCTTGAAGCGAAGGAAGCCTTCGCGAAGCAGCAGCAGCAGGAGCAGCAGGCAAAGCAGCTGGCCACATTGCAAGGTCAGCAGCCTCAGCAGCCTGAAGCCCTGAAGTTGAAGGAAGCTGGACAGGATGAGGAGGGGGCCCTGCGACTCCAGCAGGCAAAGTTGGAGCGAAGGTTGGCAGACCTCCAGGCCAAGAGGGCAGCGGAAAAGGCGGAGGAGGAGCGCAAGATGCAAGCCCTTGAGGTCAAGCGTTCGGCTGCGGAGGCCACCCAGGCGACCAGAGATAACGAGGTGAATGCATTGGCAAAGGAGATGTTCCAGAAGTATGTCAAGGAAATGGAGGAGGCGAAGGCTCGCGAGATTGAGGAATCCCGGGCACGAGCCAAGCAGGGGGAGGCCGCCAAGGAAGGTTCGGAAGCCCAGGAGGCTCAGAATGCTAAGGAAGCCGAGGAACAGAAAGCTAAGGACACAGAGGAACAGAAGGCTAAGCACACCGAGGAACCGATGGCTAAGGAAACCGAGGCACCGATTACAGAATCCAAGGATCTGCCGGATCAGGATGCAATGACAGTGGATGCTCCGAAGCTGGAGGGCTCAACGAACGAGCCTTCCATTGCTCCGGCGGCGTCGACGGAGTCGAATGGTGGTGGCAGCGCAGGCGGAGCAGCACAGGACCCAAAGCCCAAAGGCAAGACGCCAGGCCAGGCAACTAGTGGCCGGTTACATTGTTAACGAGACAGTCAGTCTAGTCAAAGTCAGTCAGTGAATCAATTGAGTTATTAGTCGCTGTCGTTCTTGTCACACTTGCCATTGGGCCATTATTATTATCAGCTGCAACAGTGTAACAGCGATTTATAGCATACCCTGCCCTCCCGGACCTCCCATCTCCTGCTGCAGATCTGTTCGGGAAGCCTGCTCCGATGAAGAAGCAGCGCACGGGGAAGCAGCTTGGACAGGGAATGGTGTGGCTAGAGCAGTGGGGGCTGGGATTCGGCTGGGGGTTGGGGCTGGGGGCTCTGGGCTCAGGGTCCGGGTGGGGGGTCGGGTCGAGCGGCTTCGAGGGGTTTAGAGCGATTTTGAGAAAGGGGGTCCCCCCCAAAAACCTTGGGTTTTGCTAGGGAAAATGGAGGGGACCCCCTTTCTCAAAACCGCTCGAGGGATTTAGAGAGACACTGGAAATCTCACCTCCCGGCCCGAATGCTCGCGATTATTTTCAGGTGAAGTGGCAGCTGGCCATCGGCCGGACCGGCTGGCTGGAGTGATGCTTGTCAAGCAGGGTTCAGTGATTCCCAGCAGGCAACTTGTCTTATTCATGTGAGCAGTGTGTCCGTTAATAGTCTAGTGTCTTGTGTTTCATTCCTCATCGCCTTATCTGATCTGGGCCCGTCATTTCTTCAGCGGTAGCGGCTTTCATTTATGAAGTATGAGTCAGGCAAGGTCCTGTCGGTTTTGTGAGGTGCAGGCTCGGAGAACGATGCAAAGTATTTATCCAGCCACACACGCATCAATCAAGTAAGTAAGCCGATGGTTAACTTAGAATCTTACTTGAGTGGCTTACCGGGTGCCTGCATGCAGTGGGTACAGCTTGTGTGGCTGATGCCACTGCACAGACAGTACAGTACGTTCTGCGCTGCATCACCAGTGACAGAGGACCAGGCAGGAGGAAACAGATTGGCCTTTACCGGGGAACTCTGACCGGCTTTGGTTATTATTAACTGTTACTTCTGGTTTGAAGTTTGTTAGTTTAAGTCTAGTCAAGCCACAGTGACATATAGCTGTAAGCTAGCAGCAGGAATACGATGATACAATACGCAATTGCACTCTGGGCTATGGTACGGTAACTCATATTATCAGTCATAATAAAAGGTAGTCACTAGATGTCACCCCCAGAGTGCAACTGCATATTGAATCATTGTGTCATCTCATTTGGCAGTGTCAGCACATCCGACCTGAGTCTGCAGTGCTGTGTCCGAGTTGCTCAGTAGTTGGTCAGCTAACTAGCTACCTGACTAGCTGCTAGGACCTAGCTGAGTCGTGCGGGAAGGCTGGTACTGGTTAGTTAGAGGTGCGGCACTAGTAAAACGGATTGGCTAGTTTGACCAGCAGTAGCAGTCGCCGTAGCATTACTAGGGTTCTGACCTGTCTTATTATTATTCTCAACATTCACTGTTGACTGTTGACTGTGTGTTGAAACTATTGTCATTCCTACATAAAACAGCATATGAGCAGAATGGGTAATGATTCGACGGACGGCTAAGGTTCGTTCACTGGCAAAAGTAGTAGTGCTAAATTAAGATACAGATGTAACGTCTAAGTATAAGTTAAAGTAGTCCCTGAGTAGTCAGTCTGTGAGTCAGAGTCTAGTCTAAGCCGGCCCAGGTCACAGGTCCTTACCTTAAGGAGTTTAATTACTATTAATAATTTATAATTTAGTAATTTATAATTAAAGATCTGATCCGAGACTCAATACATATACCCGTTTTCTTTCTCAGTGAGATAATGCAGGCAAGACAGTCTGTGCAGTACCTGAATTGCATCTGACAGGATGCTTCTTGACTGCTGACCCGTGACAGACGACCCTAGTGCCATACTTAAAATTTCCGGCCGCTGTCATTAGGTGCTTAGCTGTGCTTAGCGCTTTCAGGTTATGTAGGCATAGTCTTAGTCTAGATAATTAGTTTCTGACTTCTGGAAACAAGACAATGTCATGTTACTGGGGTTTCATGCATAAAAAGTGGAATTTAATTTACGACTTCGACTCATAATCTGACGAGTCACTCACTTGCCTTAGTCTCGGGACGACAATTACGATTACCCTGCAGCTGTGAATAGGTGGTAATGGCCTCAGGCGGGGGGCATTCACACTCATATTAATAATAACAAGAAGGGTTCGAAGTGACTGGTTGCCGACGGTTGTGTGTATGCATAGGCCTCGAGATCTACCTATTTCAATTCAAACAATTACGTCGTGGGGCAGTGTTCAGGGTCGCCGTGTCTTGTGCATGTGGAAACGAGTAGAACCCTAAGCCCACCCTAACTTACTAACCCCCTCCCATCGCCGATCCTGCTGCAGACATTATTGCACTCAGAGATTACTCTGAAGTAGTTTTGATTATTGATTGTTGCCACTAATCCCAATCGGCAACTCGAGATGGTGTGGACTTCACCATCCCCGGCGAAGCGTCGAGTCGATCTGGAGAGCCCCACCGGTACTAGCCTTCTCTCCATGAGCACACCGGGAACCCCGGGCACAGGGCATACGGTCTCCCCCGGGGATCTGCCATCCGGCCGCAAGCAACTGAATGACGTGGTGTCGAGAGCAATAGCCAATCGGAAGCACTCGGGCGGAATCATCCTTTTGGGAGAGGAGGAGAGCCCCCTGAAAGCATTTCCACCCCTCGAGGCCATCCCGGAAATCCCAGCTTCCCAGCCATCCCAACTTGATGCCATCGCAGCTACTCCGACTCCAGAAGTACCCCTTCCCACGGCAAAGGCTAAGAGCAAAGCGAAATCTAAGGCTAAGGCATGCAACACCATGCCGAAGCCGAAGGCTACACCCAAAGGACATCCAAAGATCGAGAAAGTCAGGAAAGCCCGGACCAAGCAGTCACGTGAAAGCACGAGCCCGGCCCAAAGCAAGCTGAACTTCACTGCTTCTGTGAAGTCGTCCGGGACAGCGTCAGTTACTCTGACTGCAGTAGCCGCAGCGGCGCCGGCCCAGCCACGGCAGGAGTCTGGAGGCGCTCCAATACCTCGTTATTTGTTAGTTTACATTGATTCCGAACAGTGCAGTGCAGGGCTCTTAAGATATAGCTAACTCACCAACCTAACCTGTCATGTGACCGTGTCAACCCTGTCACCGTCCCCTGCATCTCGCTACAAAAAAACCCTAAGCTAAGACCTCCCTGCATAGGCTGAGGCCTTTAACAATTCAGCATTAGTAAATTAATCGGAATACTAATCCGAACCTATGAACGATAGACTCTAATAACGAAAGTGAGTTCAATATTCAAAGCCTTACCCTATGCAATACAGCAGTAAGGCTTAATAACTTAAGGCAGTCAGCGCTCACAAATTTTAAACTGTAGTAGACTAGATCCCTAATCAGTTTGCTTGACCCTGGGAGGCGTGCCGAGTGCCTCCGCGTGATCGTCATGCTGAGCTGGGAATAGTTTAGCGACGGACTCCGGAGCTTTGAAAGGACTCAGGACTGCTGCTCAGGCAATCAGTCAGTCCACTGACAGTGACAGGGCCGCTGTGTCGTCACGCGAGACAGTAACTTGAGTAACTGTGACCGTCAACCAGTCGGGATTAGCGATCCTTAAATTGAACTTATTATTAACACGAAATGACTAATAATAATAGATTAATTAATAACTAAGCCCCCCTGATTTTTAAACCTACCCGCCTTAGGCCCTTAGTCGACAACAGTCATAGCCGACTCTGGACCCTGGACTGGACCCTGGCTGTCTGTTCTGTTCACTGTTAGCAGAGTTAATAGTTAAGTTAATAACTACCCTAAACCCCTAAGTCTAAACCCTGTGCCCCCTGTGTTCTGCCAGAGTGTTAGTGTTAGACTAGTAAGTAACCAGTTTGAGTCTCAAAGACAACAGTGTGAGTGAGTGCTAGCTTACACGACTCGAATGTACGGAGCAGCAACAAAGCTAGATTGCTAGATGATTGATTGGATCCACAGCCACGGCCGCACCTCCGATGTCCTCGGTTTGTTGCGGGCAGCTGGCCGGCAGGGATGCTCAGGACCTCTGGCAGTAGACCCACGAGCTGTCATTGCAAACAATCCGCAGAAAATTGAGGCTGATTGAGCTTCCTGCGCTGTCAGTAGCACAATTCGTCATGATCCCAATCATTGTGTGTAAAGATCTGAATTCTTAAATCAGAGCTGTGCTTCAATGGGGCAGCACGCACTCCGGACTCAGACAGCGACCGACCGGTCTGATTGAAAGTTGAGGGGACATGCGTACATTGTGTGACGGATGCCGGATGTGAGGGTGACACCGACTCACTGACAGTAAATAGTAGTTAATAGTAGTAGTATTTATAATAGACTAAGGGTCCGAGGGTCCGGGTGCTACAAATTGTTATTGGTAGTTTCATTTCGTTTAAACTTAAAAGTCTAGCAAGCACCACCTCACTGTCCTGCAATCTAATAAAGTAGGAGACAAAATATGTATCTCCATATTTTATACTTAGGGCTAGGGGGTGTGTGGTTTATTATTAACACATAATTCAAATCAATCGTTAGTTTCTGTACTAGTACTACATTGGACCGGAATCTGAACCTGCCCTGGAAGGCAGGGCACCACCGCCTGACCCTGGACCCTTAAGTCCTACTGAACCCTATGATATAAGTCTTCTGTTACTGGTTAGTTCTCTCAGGGTTGTTAATTGCCTTCTTACATAATTTCCAATACTACTTGCCTGACTGCATGGCTGAAGAATACTCATCATTAATCCTTATTGAATTTGCCAGTCAGTGTTTCTTGATATTTATTTATTAACACTGACTGACAAATTCAACAAGGATATTTATTATGGTCGAATTCTCATTCCAATAAAGACCTGACCACACCCTCGCAGCTGACTACTGCTGGATGCTGGGCCCTGGGACCCCTGCCAGAGGCCTGTGCTGCTGATTCATGTTGAACTAACAAACTACAGACTGTTTCACTGTCTGTAAGCTGTATGCAACCGACAAAATATCTGAAATCCGGGCCCCTCGAGTTCAATCAGTCGATAATCTCATATGAGCTCTGTCTGTAGTAGTAGCGTAATAACCGTTTAATCCAAATCCCGGTTAGTCATTAGTCGAGTCAGTCTATTTAAAATATTCAGTCTTAATATTCAGAAATCAGTTAATAATAGTTGCGTTGGAACCGTAATTTACTTCAACTTGGCTGCACCTCCGCCCAGGTGGTCTCCAACATAGCAGCGCTGGCAAGCCAGGTGGCGCAGCCGTGCCATGCCTTTGATCGTCAGCTACTATTCTGGTCAGAACTAGTATTGAATCTTCTGTTTTGAATGAGTTCGTGCTAATTCTGATTCTGCTCTTGCTTAGAGGTTAGCTTGTATTTTTCATTCTAGATGGTTACCTGCTTGCCATAAGGAACAATGAAGTTTGGACACATTGAAATGCCGTAGTTAGTTGTTCAACTGGCATCCAGAACTCTAAAGGAGAGGCATCACATGTTCCACGTGTCAGTCAGACTCGCCTGACTGGCCACAAAGCTGATTCCGCATCGTGGCTTTAATGCTGTGGGTTGAACTAATACGTTACATAAATAATTAAATTACTCTGTATTTTATACATAGTTGTCACAGGCTGACACGCAGAGACGCTGCTTCAAGCAAGCTACAAAATTTGAATCACTAACTTAAACTTAATAGTATCGGGGGAGTTGAGCCCTGGTCCCTAAAGTGACAGTTTAACAGTTAATTTTAGGCTTATATTATATAACGAATCAGGGGTAGGATTCCAGGATGCTGCAATGCTCTGAAATTCTAAACTATCGGTTACGACTAGATGTGAGATCACTTTTAAACTTGAGACCAATAGACTTATAAGATATAATCTAATACTCTACGACAATGTAAGATGTCGTGTTAGATTAGAAACAGCCCCTCCGAGTACCCGTACTAGTAATCTTATAGACTTGGGTTCAAGGCGCCCGAGTCAGACTCCCGAGTCCATGTAGTAATTTAATGAATAATTGTAATTGGCATTGTCATGGGTCACAAAAATCACTATAATATTACTGTTTGTTAGTTGGTCCGGTTTGATTCCCGACATGTAAATGCCAATGCCCAGACCCAGCCCCAATCTCAAGCCCGGCATCCGTAATACCCGAATCTTTCCAATTCCAGCTACTGCTTAGCCAGTATTATTGTCATTAGTCATGATTAATCAGGCCCATAAATACTGAGTAAGTAAATGCCAGTCTACCGACAACCATTTTTTAGCAAGCCGTGTCCTGCATGTAAAGATTGGATGGTACCGAGATCAAGTAGAAATGGTCAGCAATGCTAGTTAGTCTAGTTACAGTCTGTGGCCCCTCGGTTGAAACAGAATTCTGACAGAGGTCAGACTTCGGTGATTCTAAACTTACTTAAATTAAACTAAAGTAATAACAATAATAATAATAGTAATAATAATAAGAACAATAAGTAAATCGGATGTAATGGTCTAATTACTGGTATGCTTTAGGACTCCAGTCAGACCAACTAACATGACATAGCTTGATTAATTAATAGGAAATTGAAACTTGCAGCCAAACTCTTGCAAGACCCAAGGAATCTCGGTGACCGCCACGATCTTGATCCGCCCACGGACATCCCGACGCGCGATCGCAAGACCATCCAGGGCATGCTGGTGCCTGTGCTGCAGTGGGATAAAACCTCGTCGATGGATTTGGAATTCATACTCAGGCCATCGGGCTTAGCCAGGGCTGGTATCAATGTCCAAAACGATTGGAGTACATTGGGGTTTTACATGTCGACATCGAGACTCTGACTGAGACGAGGCCCAGTAGCCGTAGCAAATGTCGAACTGCCAGTAAATTCGAGAACCAACGACAACCAGAGTCACAATTGAACCCTGTCTTATTGTGCTAGTCCGACCTTGTAATCGATTCATGTAGGTACTGGCGCAAGCTCTGAACGGCAACCTGGACGTCATGTGGGGGAAGGACTTGCTGTCGCTGAACCTTGCCCATCACTGATTTTTCAGCTCAGATTCGGATATTCAGCTAGTTCACCATTTGATCCAATTGGAATGTCAATGTGTTATAAGTCTGTCACTGTCGCTAATACTGGTTCATATTCGAGCGAAGTATCTAAATATGCCAAGCTCCTATTCATGCTGTCTTCTCCACGATGCAGCAGGGACCCAGGGAGGCCAGTCAGTGGGCTGCACTGTCTGTGGTAGCGTGGGCCTTGCCGGGCCAAGCCAATGTCAAGTTACAATGACAAGAATGATCAAGAAATAATAATATGGGTCCACATTCAAGTTTTGATCGGTTTCAGGCTTCGGTCCAGGCCAAGACCAATATTTTAATTCAGTAGGTTAGCCTGCGAGTGAAGCTAATTCTGAGGACCATTAACTTCGTAGTTTAGTAATGTCACTATCGAACCTGTAGTGTGTAAAAACTCAGACTATTGTCTTCGGTCACAGGCATCAGGACAGACTCTGTGAGTAGCAATGGGAAAGGCATCTTGTGGCATTGATGTGTTTGCTGTGTCCGAATGCTATGAGTCCATGAGGTAAGCCTGATGAATCTGTTTATTTACTACGACTACGGTGAATTCACATCAACGAGAAACAGTGTCAGTATTAGTGAACACTTAGTTGCTAGTGTCTTGTCACAAGTTGGCAAGGACTTGTTAATAAGAGTCTTCATGCATGTTCTTACTTAAGATTCCTATGATTAAGTGTGCAGCATTATTTACGTTTAATAGACAGATTTGTCCTGGTCCGAAACGTTTAATTTAAGACTCTTTGACAGTGACTGATATGACTGAGAGTCCCTAGAACCTCGCCCCCGAACTGGCCCGGCCCCCTGGGCCCCTTGAGATTAGGAGTGCCTGATTGCCTGAGCGCAGCAGGCAGAATCCCGTGCTTAATTTACTCTTACCTATGCAATATATACATCAATTAGTGTCGACACAGACCGACCAAATATATGCACCTCGAGTCGCTAGCTTAAGACATATGTCTTATGTTAAGAGTCCGACCGGTCCTTCATCGATCCACCCAGGAAACCCGCCAAAAGATTACTTCCTTTGCAAAGCGCGTGCGAAGCTCTGCCTGCACCACCCGAAGCACTTCGCCCTGCAGACGTTCGGCAGCGTCCGCTGCTGACGATCGCATCCTGGTTGGTGATGGGTCGGTTATCCTCATAGTCAGGTTTCCTTCCGAAAGTTTCGTTAGTTAGGTTAGTTTGATAATTTAATTTATTTATTAAAATTTAGTTAATTATAACCAATCTATTATTGTAATTCGTCTGTGTTCGGTACTCTTCAGAACAATGCTCAATCCAATTTGTAATTAATACAGTCGTACCGTAACTAGTAACTGTAGGCGCAGTTGCAGCATCACTGGTCACTGACTCGAATAATCCGGAATCCGTTCATTAAGAAGAGCATTCACGACTAGAAGCGTTTTGTTCATGAAGCAATTGAATTTGGCAACGACTCGAGAATGAAACTCAGCCCCAGCGCGGCCGGGTGGTTCCTCTTAGCGAAAGAAAACCCTACCAGGTTAGGTGTTTCCTGGTCTTGTTATTAATATCGAAAGTAGTTACTATGTCATGTTACTGTGTAAGTACGTGTATCTAGTCATGTCTGTGTTGCTCATAGGTCGTCACTACGACTAATTTGAGCCTAGGCCGCGGACGAGGAGGCCCTGCCATTCAAGACGATGCACATTCTGTCGCACGAGCTCGGCTTGAGGCTGCACATACAACCAGAAAGTACACATAGCCTGTGGAATGACGTCCGTAACTCGGTACGTAGAAGTGGACTGCAACACTGTCTTCTTCTAGCTGGGGTCCTCTCAAACACAGCCCACGGACCTTTCGGCGGGGGACGCAATTCCTGGACTTTGCTTGAATCGGCGGAGGACTTGGGTCGGACAATGTCAGATGCTACGTTTGCCGAACTTCTTGATCAGATGGCAGACGATCAGACTGACGCTGATTCGGCTGATCGGAATGAGCATTTGCCGCAGCAACCATCTGATATACCGCAGCTGCCTGCAGTGAAGAACCTTCCTCCGTTCGTTTTGGCCCCAGTGGCTCATGCATGATCCTGCTTCAATACATTTCGTTGCAACATAGCAACATGGTTCAAATCTTGCAGCAGGAACTTAGACGATATTTAATATTTCTGAAAATAGACTCTTGGACCGGGCACGGTATTGATTGAGGCTGTCGTCTCAGTCTCGCCAGTTTATCCCTTACTGTTACTGTTAGTTAGTCAATCAAACCGATCGAAGTACTTACTAAAGTACTTACTAAGTATTGTCGTGCCGTGTGAGCACGTCCCTGGTTGCAGTGGTATGATTGAACTAACTAGGTTGGATTACGTTGCTTCACGAACTCGTGAATTTACGAACAGTAACACTAACAATAACAAGAATAATTTAAATTATTATCCTACTTATATTATATGCATAGCAAATATAGTAGAATTCATTGTTAGTTGACTAGCTGTAGCTGACTTAGCCTACTGCTGCGTAAGGTTTACTCTGGTACTACTTGGTATTACTATTGTTAATTTCCAAGTTGCCTTTTAGTATTCTAGAACTAAACAACGATTTCATGCCTATCCCTCACAGACAGTGTCTGACTGAGTCGCCTGGCCGACTGTCTGGCAGGCAGTCTTTATTAACTTATCCGTCTAAATTGTCGCGTCAGCAATAATACATTTTACAATGCTACTACACTCTACCTACTGAAAAAATGTACTAACTTTACTAACTAGTCTAGACCAATGCTACTTAATTCGTTTCCAGGTTTGTGTAGCGATTGAACAGTGGCAGGTCCCAAGTTTATTGTGGGATTCCGCAAATAAGAAGAATAATAAAAAAATATAACCATGTTACCAGATCGAATCGCCGAGGTGCAATCTGAATATCTGAACCACAGTCTGAATTAAATTATGCCGGACCCTGGAACCCAACTTTTAAATGTAGCAGCGGCTAAGATAATTATGCCCGTGTCCGGACTCTGACAAGCTGCAGGTGAAAACCAAATCCTGGTTTGCGGCCCTGGATTCCATGGACTACCTGTGCAACAACTGGACCCTCCTCTCCACGGTCCTGGATCACGCTCTCCAACACTTTATCGATGCCGGCGCCGCTGGGCTTAAGTGTCATTCTCGTTGGCTCACCTGAGTCTGAATGAGATCATTGAAGCATGAGAGGGCTCAAGCCCCAGGCCAGGGCCTAGGCTAGGCAGGTTTGCTCTCGGTTCTTCTGTCGAGTAGCCATTGATTTTACAAGCTGCAGGCTAGTACATGCTAAGGATGAATGACTTCTGGGCGAATCTCAGCAGTAGTCACAAGTATTTTGGCGGGTCTGGGGTTGAGGCCTCCGGTTGGCATGTGGAGATTGGTGATCGTTGGGGCTTTTACATTTCATTTGACTTGAGTTAGGAGACGAACTATGAATATACTGTTCGACTTTAGACTCACTTTATTGTACTTGCGTTCTTTGACTAGTTAATTTGTCGTATTTTTGTTATCAACATCCGTCTTATTATTATTATTATCATTGGTCTCAATGAGAACTCAGAATTCCGAATGAGTTAAGAGCTAAGGAAGCTTAAACTGTATTTCTGCATCTTTCGTATGTAGGCCCAGGTTAGTAAGGTGTGTCAGGGAGAGCAGGACCAGACTACGTTGCGATTGGTTTTCGGAGTTCTCACTCAGACTACAGACTAAGCTCCAACCCAAGACGTTCGTGATGATTTGCGGCCGGAGGGGGGAGGGGCGGGGCGGGGACAGTGACAGGGCAGCCGATCGAAGTCTGGGGTCACCATGTTTCTGTCTGCACTGGCATTGAAGCCCTAGCCTTCGAGCATTATCACCCGGACCCCCCCCCCCACACACACACACACACACACACACACACACTGACAGTGATACAAACACAGACACACACATGCATAGTCCAATAGCCTTTCTATGTCATGGCACACTCACATACATATTGTGACAGTGACACAGCTGACTACCGTGAATGACTCAGCCAGTATACCCCAGTCTGATCAGCCTACTCGAATCATCTCTCACAGACAGACAGACAGACTCGATCACAATCACCGTTCAATAATGATTGACAGCTGAATCGTTCCCTGATTTAGTTGAGCACACACGGACACAGGCACCGACTAGCACACACGCACACACATACACACGCACGCGCAGACAGACATGCACATGAGCGCTCGCTAGACAGTAGAGTGACTTAACCAGGGTCTCAGGTGATATGCCTTCGGATTTCGACCTGGCGACTTGGGAGTGACAGGGGATGTGCTTCGATGGTGCGTCTCACGGTCCTTATTAACTGGAAGTTAAATGGGGTCCGTAAGCGAACTAATGAAAACAGCACCAAATACTGTACCACTCCCTCCTACGACATTCACATGCCTCCCGACACCGTTCGTTCGGACTCAGCCTACCATGTTGGCTGCCATGGTGAGTCAGTAACATGCGACGAGTGGCGACGGCATGACAATACTGGGCATATGATATTCCGAAGTTCCTATGAACCACGGTAATCTTATGTAGGAATTCAGGGGCGCTGGTCCATTTGCATACCCAAGGATGCCAGCCGCGACGATGACGCAGGAGACGGTGGCGACGAAGGCCCAGCGGCAGCTGAAGAGGCGGCGGAGGACGACCCAGCTCCTGCTGCTGACAGCAAGGTGCCGAAGACTAGATCCGAACTGCAGAAGCTTCGCGAGAACTTTGCGAACACGATGCACTTATGCTTGCACTTTTATGCCGACCGCAGCCTACAACAACAAATGCGATTGGTGAGCACTGCCTGCAAACCCATCAGAGACTCCTACCACCAGTCACTGGTGGATCAGAAAAGCCAGGTGCGAACCGGTAATGATTCACAAAATTGCGTTGGGAATAACCAAGGCAAACCCGACCTGAGTGACTTCGGGCTGCTACATTCATTTAAGTCGAGCTTACCCGCCAGTAAGACAACATCGCTGACTTTTTTCTTAGACGTAGACCTTTGCCTGGCCTCTTAAACTAGCTTTAATGACGACTACGACGTACTTTAAGTAAGAACCCACCCATTGATTTTGTCGTTTGCTCCTGCCAAATATTCAAGCGGCCTTGGACTGGTGATAGTAGGCTGGTGGCTTGTGCAAGACCTCAGGTGAATGCTGCCAGGCTTCTTTTGCTTCAGTGGTTCAGGTCGTTTTCTTCAATAGAACCATCAGTGTGGCATTAGTCTTAGTTCTGAAATGATTATCCTCTGTACGATTTAAGTGGTGGTGGTGGTGCTGCTGCTGCTGCTGCCGGTGGCAGTGGCGCTGGTGGTCGTGATGTGTTGTTGTTGTTGTTGCATTGTTGTTGCAGTGCTGTTGGTGTTGGTATAATTGTTGCTGATTGTTGCTGCTTGTCGATGTTGCTTTTGTTGTTACTGTTGACATTGTTAGTGCTGATGATGTTGATGTTGTTGTGGTCGTTGTAGATGTCGTTGCTCGTGGTGTTGCTTTGTTGGTGGTGTACTTGAGTAGGTTCGTTGTTGTTGACCGTTGTTAAACATTGCCCATTGATGTGAACCCTTATTCATGATGATGCTGTTGCTGGTTGTTGTTGAGGTTGGTTTCCCTACTCTGTCGCTTTTTGCTGTGACTGTTTCTGTCCAAGGCTGTTGCTTCTCACATTCCTGCTGTGTTTTGGGTGTTGATGATGTTGTTCTTGATAGATGTTGTTGTCACTGCCGTAGTTATTGCTGCTGTTGTTGTCGCTTTTGGTTCTGGTGGTGGTCGAGGTCCTGGTTGTCGTGGTGCTAGTGGTAGTAGTCTCTAGTCTAGTAGTTGTTACCTTGGGGCTGTTTAAAGTTCATGTTGCAGCAGTGGTGTTACTAGTTAGTTACTAGACTATGGATGGTCCAAGCAGCAATGGTCCCAATGGTCAGTGGTGGTGACGGTGGTGGGGTGACGCCGGTGGTGGTGCGTCTTTCCTTGTAGCGCTACTGTATTACTACTTACTTAACTGACAGAATAGTTACAAGTTTCTACGAAAAAGGTGAAGTGACAAGTAACCTGATCCTACTCTTACTCCTACTCAGACGACGGGTAACACTACTTTGACTTTCACTGCAGGCCACCGTGGACTGCGTTATGTGGTTGCGCGATTCAACAGGCGAAACCTTCGTGGTCAGCTTACTTCTATACTATTCTCGACCCGACTCAGATTCAGTAATTTAATTAATTCGAGTCGAATATCAACGAGCACATAAAGCCGCCACCCTGCACCAAGCCCCTACTGCTGCCTGCAATGTGCAGGCATCCACCATGAAGTTTCAAGCCACCCGGGCTGCAGCCGGTTGGTTCGACGTGGTCCGGGATACGCTCCATCTGATCCACGAGCGAGAGGCACTGCAGCGGTTCAACGTGACCACATCAGTGTCAACGAGCATCCTCGAGGAGGATGATGATCTGGCAAAGGAGCCCTGGTTTCTTGAAGAAAGCGAGCTGGTGGATACCTTTTGGAAACTTCTGGTGGAATTGGCATCGGCAAGATCCTGGAGCCAGGTGCAATTCTCGACTATCCAACCTTGTGCTTTAGCGATTGCGCTGAGCCCGGACAACGGCCCGAACAGCCTGGCACAGAAGCTGCTCCACGAGCAACGTGATACTTGGAATGCGGTGCTCAAAGCGGAAAGATCCGCTGCAAGCGACTCAAAGCTGGATCCTGGTGTGCGGAGTGCCTTGAACCAGGTGCTCTGCGACTTGGGGTGGAACAGGTTGCAAGTTTCTCGGGAGGCCATGCTGGAGTGCACGGCTGCCAACTGGAAGGTCTCCGACCAGCGTGTGCTAGAAACCGCGCGTTGCCTCTTCGCGGGGCAAGCCCAGACGAAGTATCATCTCGAAGATCTGTTTGCACACCTTGTGTCCGTGGCACGAGCGTCCAATCTTCCAGTTTCGATGAACAAGTGGCATGGCAGCTTCTAGTTAGTTTTATTATAGTTTATTTATAGTGACAAGACTTAGATAAGTTAGTTGTTGTCAGAAAATGATGGTTGGTTGAACCATAAAATCCTTATCTTTATCATTGTGTGGGTCATTGTCCTTCGAATCGAACTTCAGAACATTAATTAATTCAATACATTAATAATTAATTAACTGGGTCTGTAATGTATAATATAGACTGGTACGTTTCAGCACTGCCACCCACTACCTCGACTCGTAGACCGTGGGACACTGACTGGGACCCCGTCAAGTCATTCAAAACTCAAACCGTCTAATGTAAGTAAGGTCTTCTTTATGACTGTCTGGGTCTGTGACTCTGACTCACTCTGAACTCTAAGACTCGGTCTTAGTCTATTCTGAGTTCTGAGAATAGTCCGTCGATACTACTAGACTATTGATTAATTAATAATTAATTAATTAATGAATAATAATAATAGGTGTAGACCTACTACTAAACCGGCACCCCCGAGGCTCATGACGCAAATGACAATTATGACAATGCCTCAACTCAGGGCTCGCACTGAACCAATAAAACAAGCCCTGCAGGCAGTCGACAGTGACAGTGAGTGACGGTGTCATTGTCACATTAGAACGGTATTTTACCACTACAAGTCGTATATTTTTTAATGAATTTAGTAAACCCGAAATAAGCAGCTTTTGTTTGTAATGGTGTGTTTGACTGGCCTCCGTTGTGGAGGCCTGTGAGTCAGGCAGGGGTCTCGAACCTTGTACTAACTAACGGCTGGCCTCGAATACATGAGCACATTTAGGGAATTGGGGTGTGTTAGTGAAACAACTTACTGTTAACTACTGCACTAGACAGACTGACAGTGACAGTGTCACACACGAATTGAACCGGGGATACACAAATATGTCTACTTACTTGTGCCGTAGCGTTGCATTCAGCATGTAGTACTGTAGGGTTCGTGTTTCGGGTATTACGGTATTGACAGTCGTGACAGGACTCGGACAGGGCTTGACTGACAACATAAAAACAGGGCAGGCGCTATGATACTATGGATGGCAGGGATTAATTAGTGACTTCGTCGTTCTGAATTCTACAGTCCTGGTAAATCTCTACACGGCCATTCTTGCCACTTCCGGTACTGAATACTGTTACGTACTTACCAGCCAGCTTAGCCGCGACCTTCCACACGATTCGTTATTTAGTATTGTGACTGTCTGATTGATGCATTGATGAATTGAAATATTATGATTTGATCAGGGTCTATACAAAAGGCATTGGGGGTCTCGGGTTTGGGGTTCTAGGCTTCAAAAGATGTATTCGGATGAATGAATGAATGAATGAATGATGTCATGAAATATTGAGTGAATGAGTGATCGGTCCAGGTAGCTCGGTGCTCTCCTCGACTCGTCGGTGCAGAACCAGGGTCCAGGGTCGTACCTGAAGAATTTCTGACTGTCGATTGTTACTGTTAATTGGGTACATCTACTATAGAAACAGAGTTATACCTCTCATTGGAAGCAATCTTAATTGAGTCGGCTTGCATTAGTTCGAATCGGTTTAGCTACAGGGCCAGGACTCCAGCCGCTGAGGTGTTAGTCATTGTCGGGGCATTGAGTCTGAGTGGCTTCATGAATCAGCTTTTGTCTGTGAGTTACTTGCTGGCTGGTCTTGTGTGTGGCTTGGGCCACTGTACCGTTCGTCATCTTCCCTTATTAATAATCAAATGTGATTCGCTGAGTAGAAACATGTAGTGGGTGAAATTACGACGCAATGCAGAACTCACTTAGACTTAGCCACTTAGAGCAATAATTTAAATTTACATTACTTACTTTTGCCAGTGTAAATAAAAATAACAGTTCTGAACGGCCATACTACTTTAACTATACTTGTGTCACGTCCAAAGGCATCTAAATTCTAAGCTGGAGGAAAAAGTAGATTGAAGATCTTACTAATCTATTTTGCTAATGGTTAGTTCTTCCAAGACACTGCATTCGATTCCGGTCCGTCAGCCTCCAATTGGCATTCAACGACTAAATATTATTTCATAGTAACAAATAGTTGAAATAATTCAGAATTCACTAAGACTGAGACTCAGACAAATTAACAACATAACCTGACTATTGATTGCTGGGCTAACCTCCTCAGCCTAGTCACCTACGCTTATCTAGTCTTCGACAGCCAACGTCAGAGCTCAGGTGGACGAGATATTTTTACTGTTCCACACTGCGTCGGGGAACAGAGTGGCCGCAACTACGAACGTGTTTGGATGACCATGCCAAGTTTCAGAAGCTGTTGGCGCAGAACAGCACCGACCCCCAGTTCAAAGGCTTGCACGGCAAAGCATTCCGAGCTGTCAATACTCGTCAACTTGACCCTGAACTTCGGAAGGGCTTGGTGAATGTCAAACTGGCGACTGCAAAGAAAGCCGGTACAGCGTCGAATCAAGCTGCTGCTGCAGCCACGAGATGGATTGCACACGCAGCGCCAGATGGATTCGAAGGCGTGGCCTCGATCTGGGCAGGCCAGTATATAGTCTAAGTCTAGTTGCTGGTCAGTAGTCAGTCATACATCAAATAAATTAAATAACGTATTCTTCAACCGTCAGATTAAAGCACAGCTAGTCGGTCATTGAAATTAAATCTTTCTTGATTTATCCTAAGTTTGTCCGACTGGTTAGTGGGGCACAACTACTAGAACCTGGAGGAATTGGGTCCACCAGTTCGGTCATCTTGATTGTGATCAAATAAGTCTGTTCGAGGGGAGCCTAGACTCCTGGACTGAGTCACTGTCACTGATTCCTCTCTCTCTGCCTCTGTCTGTCTGCCTGTCTGAGTCTGAGACCGTAATGCCGAAATACTAATCGACTATATGTTATGTATTTATAGTTATCCCTTCTTAGTCTGTTTAAATTCTACTTATGCCGTTGGATTCCATGTATGTAACCCGATCTGAGTCGGATCGCTGTCTGCCGAGTCTGACCTGTACTGACTATAATTACTGTATGTCTAATTGGGCCCACTGATTCAATTTCAAACTGTTGTTATTGTCCGAGTTGAGGTTGTCGTTGTGGTTGCCCGCTGCATTGCTGCTTTGTCATTGTCAACCCACCCCTGAATGAATTTATGTCGTCTTAGTTGTAAAATCAGTCCTAAAGTAGTACTTAGCGGGAGTTCACAAGTGCACAACGTAGCAATTCCAGCCGGGCTTGGGAGTTTGACTGCCCGCGTTGAGGCATCTTCCTGACGAAGGGTGGTGTGTTTCTCAGCAGGCAGGACGAGGGCCTCGTCGTCCTGTCTTTGGGTTTCAGAAAGTACGGGGCGCTGGCTGCGAGAATGCGTGAACACACATCCCAGCATGATCCCCGCACAGCTGCTCGGTCTGACTCTGACTCCGGGGCACTAGCTAATTAGGGACCTGGTACCCCGTACTACTCCTTTAACTTTAGGCCTTGATATTTTCCTAGTTGGAACAAGCTTGTATCAGCCTCGACTCATCATTCAGACTATGATTCATGGGTACTGTTACTGGATGACTTAGCCATGTAAAATGTAATGTATGTAAAATGTAATCTAATGTGAGTAAAGCTGAGACCTTCTTTACTGTGGATCGCGATCCCAGCAACCGATCGCCAATCTGGCTGTTCAACAGCAAGTTTGACAAGTGCGACTGGCTGCGACACCAAGTGAAAGTGATCCACCCGCTGCTCGTCCCTCCTGATCTCAGGGGATACGGCATCGTTTTGCAGAAAACGGGCCCACCGCAAGAGCTCGTGCCTGCAGCGCTGCGGGCAGGAATCTTCTTGACAGTGAAGCAGATCAAAGAGTTGCAAGGCCACTACCATTTTGCCATCCCGACAAAGGGATCTGGATCGGGGAAAAAGGGCAATGTGGTGAAGCGCGACCTGGCAAAGGCGCTTTTGAAGTTCTTCTTTGGGGAGTCCATGGACGAGCGAGAGTCAGAGCGGCTCTTGAGCTCGCTCATGGGCCAGCAATGGGACCGCCAGGGCAAAGGATCCCCACATGCATCCGAGCTCGTGGCGGCTTTCAAAAGCCTGGATGCAACAGATCAACCGGACTTCTGCAAGTTGGCAGCCGTCGCCGCCGACGAAGTCAAGCTGAAGGAGTCGCGCGCAGCCCGTGTTGACATGCAGGCAGTCCACGCCTCCCCAGCTTTCGAGACGCCGAGGGTGCTGAGCAAGCTCCTACCTTACGGTCCCGGCTTCGCCTGTCGGTTCAACCGACACCCGGTACTGAAAAGATACCAATGTTACATCGTCGATGCAGCCAGCGGCTTCTCGTCGACATTACTACTGTGACTGTGGCAGTGCTGTGTGCTGTATGAGTTTAGAGTTAAGTTCTGGGCCAAGTCAAGTTTAGGTCTCAGTTAAAGGGCCAGGGCCAAAAGTCTTTCGATTTGGATTCTACGCTTCAGCTTCTAATTCTAGGCTTCCGGGCTCCCGTCCTGCTTACGGGTTCAATTCAATCATTCATTGTCTTCGGCGCAGCAATGCAGTGCACCTGAATATATACCAAACCTTATCATCCCGGACGGCGGTCCGAGCCGCTGCAGCTCGCCGTCTATTTCTACGAGAAATGGAACCACAGTGACTGCCTTAAGTAAGCGCATCGGCTAAAATGGGGGAGTTTAGCCCCTTATCGCAATTAAAGGCGCCCCAATTAATGACGACATTCTAAATGCCCGAAGCAATTACTGTATAATAGAACCCTGTTACACAAGGATTCCAGTTTGGTCCAGGGATCCAGGACTCCGTAAAGAATCTGGACACCTGAATTCTGAATTAATCTATGACCTTACGAAGTTGCTAAAACCCTGAAATCACACTGAAACAACCACTTACCTGATCTGCGCTGCCCCCGGATGCCATCGGCCCAGGTCGGCAGTGGTCTCATGCGGTCACGTGGCATGGTCCGCGGCGCCAACTTTCGGAAGAGGATGCCCTGAAAGAGTGCGTGGATGCATGCTGGAAGGAGGTTCGTTCCAAACGCGCTCTTGCTGACTTTCAGACAGAGCCGGGGGCCCGGATTCGATGAATTTGTAATAAAGCCCTGAAGCTGGACGTTTAGGGGTTTGGGCTTAGGCATGACATGAAATGCGTTTTCATTTGTTGCAGCTGCCTGTGGCAAATTTGTATTTGTATAATTCATCTCAGACCACAGAATACTGTAGCATGCCTTCTGTCCCGTACACTATACGACGTCCTGCGTCCTGAAGTTCATTTTGTTCTACCCCTAACCCGCAATTGTCAAGTTATGCCACTCTCCAGCCAATCAGTGCCGGGGTCTAACCAAAACCAAGGGCTCATAGGACCTCTGCCGAGTCAGGCCAACGATGCAAGAGATTTCGGACGTGGTGAGCAGCTTCGACAAGGCTACCGGCTACAAGACGCCTCCGTTCGCAGATCCGAATCCGAGTGCGGCTGGATCCCCTGCTGTCAGCTCTCAAAAGTCAACTTCGGCTATGCAATTCAGCCCTGCTTCGCCTCGTGTTGCAAAGCCTTCTGAATCTGAAGCTCCCCCGAAGCTGCCTGCAATCAAGTCACGCAAGCAGAGCAAGGGCCCGACAGATGAGCCCATGCCCAAGCGTGCCCGGGGCCGGGGTCGGGGTCGGGGTGCATGAAGCCCTATGTGATTGATGTTTCAAAGTTAGGGTTTCAAATCTGGGCTCTCCTGATTATCCTTACGGTAGAAGCCAGAGAGTTGGAACATAACTTTAGAAGGATTAGTGCTAGGATCCCTTATACTTTACCTTAAGGGCATGAGGGTAATGATTCTGATGTTCCAGCTTTCTGGCTTCTACTGTAGTCTGTAGTGCGACTGATGTGAAATGTAAATGTGAATCGGCCATCCGGACTCCGACTCCGGCTGCCAGCTCATGTTCCGAGTGCAATCCTGGATCTGAGATGTCGAATGAAGGATCGGCGCGGCGCTCGGAGGATTCAAAACATGGGTACTGGGTTGACAGCGGGCCCCACACCAAACCCGCCTCGGCTTTGTAACTACAGAAGCCTGAGTTCCAGTATGGGCCTTCTGGCCTTCTAATACAAGCCTCAATTTGCCCCTGGGCCTCCTGGGCCTTGTAAGACTAGAATCCAAAGCCATGGATCTCAGGGATTTTTGAGATTGGGGGTCCCCCACATGAGGGTCCCCTTAAAGGCTCATGAACTAAGTCTCATGAACCTCCAAGTAGACCCTAAACCCTAAACCCATAAAGGGAAGCCCATTATAGAGCCCTATAGGTACCCTTAAAAGGAGTCCCTTATAACCCTAGTTACCAAGTCTCCATCAGGGATCCTTCTAAGGGCTCTAGATCTCAGGGCGACTAGAGGATTTTAGTATGGAAGCCTTAGGTATCAGGATGGGGGTTTGGAGATATTGATTATGACTATGTCGAGGATGACAATGCGTGGATAGATATATATATATATATATATATATATATATATATATCACATTCATGCACACATATGATCTTATTATATACATGTGTAGATATCGGATCGCCTCATAACACCTCATACCATGCGAATATATCTATATATATACACACATACACGTATCTACATATGTGTATATATATATATATATACATATCACCGTTATTCAGGCGGCTACAAATACAACCTTGAGCTCTAGCGATTTAGGGCTTATGTTTGACCCAGAAACCCGAAAACTACATTAGACTCCAAATCTATTTAGGGGTTCCCTTCAGGGAACTATGAGAGCCCTAGATACGCATTTAAGGTTTAGGGTTTAGGGTTGTTTCTATTTTAGGGCTCAGGGTTCAGGGTTGTAGGCTTCAGACCTTAGAACCCTGGACCACCCGGGTTTGGGGTTAAGGGTTTAGTCGGACATCAAGTAAACTCACGGCATGGTGGCCAGCTTCGCTAGCCATTGTGCCTGTGGCTTGATCTCTGAACGCAGACGTCGGATGAATCATGATACCTCAGCCCCTGAAGCATAAGCCCTTAAAAAAGGGCCCATGGCATTTTTTTAAAAGCATAAACCCTTGAGCCCTCAGCCTTACAGCATCAAGCATTGAGTTGGTTTCCTGCCAAAAAAACCCTTGTTGACACCCTTGGACATCCTGAAGCCCTGCCACAAAGCCCAACTAGAACCCAGAAACCTCAACCCCAACCCCTAAACTATTAACCGAGGTAGCCTGAAACCTCATAAACCTCGTACAGAAACCTTAATTAGGCACCAATATATTTGAAACCTTTAAAGGAAAAACAACCTTTCTTCAAAGGAACTCTATTTTTGAGGCCATTGTCCCTAAACCCTAAACCCCTAAACCCTAAACCGGAGCATTCAAACGCGGACTTCAGGAGCCTGCGGCTGCAGAAGCAGCTGCTGAGCCATCTGCAGAGGCACGCCCATTTTTAATTAATCTTAAACCCTGAGGCTCTAAGGACTCGAATTGTAATGGTTTTGGGCCCAAAAACCATACTATGTAGGGCTTTTGGGCTATTTTGAGCCTTAGGGAAAGGGTCCATGTACCCCAAAATCGGGTGATGTATGAGGGGTGTGTCGGGCTCGCATAACCCCATAATGCAGAGGTAGTAACATATAGCTACTACTTCTATTCCTGAGGTCTCCTCGTTTTTATGTTGCTGTAAGATCCGTCCCTACACCCTATTCTAATTATTAAGGCCCCTGTATTAAGCCCATTGTAGACACCCATTTGGGACACCCTAAAACCCTAAATCCTACACCCTAAACCCTAAACCCCAATCCTACACCCTAAACTCTAAACCCTAAACCCTTAACCCTCATAGGGCACCCTTATGGCAAACCCTTTCATCAAGGCGCTTCTGTAGGACCGTTACCCTTAGGCTCTAAGGACTCATATGCCAAGGCTCCCGGGCCCAAAGACCATACTATATAAGGCTTTTGGGCTATTTTGAGCCGTAGGGTTAAAGAACCTACGTAATTAGTAAGACTTGTGTATTACTTAGAAGCTGCCCCCACCCTGTAATAGTGACTATAAGGATTATGTTTGGGCCGTATTATATTGCTACTATACCACTAATACAGGGTGGGGGCCCCTTCTAATGTATTACGGTAAAGATTCACGAAAGGTCCATGTACGCAAATAGTAAATACTTAGGCCTTAAAGTAATCCCCATATAGGTGCTTTGGGGTCAAAGTATTTACTGCAGAAAGTGCGACAGCCCTTAAACTCACCAAAGCCCCAACTACCCATGTTTACGGTTTAAGGCGCAAGCCCTACACAACCGCCAAAATGCCATGAAGCAGTCTGAAACGAATTCGTAGACAGCCCACGCCAGCCCGTGCAAACCTAATGGGCGTTGACTTGAAAACTCCCAAAGCCTAAACCCTAACCCATCCTAAACCCCCCCAAACCCCTACTAAAACCTAAACCCCTAAAGGCCTAAGCCCCTAAACCCAAACCCCCTACCGGAAACCCGAAGAGCCTTGAGATTGCAGGCGCCTGGAGCGCCGGAGCTCACAGAGAGTGTCACCGAGGTCGGCAGCCGGGAGGGCGAATCGTTCTGCGGGTTTAGGGTCTTACGGTTCAGGGTTTAGGGGTTTAGGGTTTGGAGTTCAGGGTGTACCTGAAATTACCGCAACCTGCGTTTCTGTGGGTTCTTACATTAAACCGGAATAATTTTCTAGGATTTTAGGGACCCTACGAAAAGGTAAGTTTTGGTTGTTGCAGCGGAATTTAGGGTGTGCTTGGAGGGACATGGGATCTAGTAAGTAGAGATATCACTACAATAGGTGGCGCTACTATTAGCTAGTGTAAGTATTCACAAGTCCTGTTACATGATTTACAAGCCTAGTTTCTAAGTCCCATGAACGTCCAAGTAGTGGTTAGGGTTTAGGACTTGGGTGGCGTAGGGATGTTACATATTGTTTTGTTCCGTCTTCACAGGGGCTATCTAGTGCTTGAAGATGTGGCAATGGCGCGCTGAATTCTGCAACCTTAGGTTTCTTCGGGGTTCTTAGGGGTTCAGGGTTTGGGGTTTAGGGGTTAGGGCAAGGTTTAGGGCTTCGGGCATAGGGTTGTTGCGTGCTTAGGGCTTGGGGCTGCGAGCTCTTTAGGGTTTTAGGGTTTAGGGTTTTGGGTTTTAGGGTTTTAGGGTTTAGGGTTTTAGGGTTTAGGGTTTAGGGTTTAGGGTTTTGCTGCCCTCCGGTTCCATTGAGGTTTTGAAGTTTTAGTCATCGGGGGGCTTGAACCCAAACCCAAAAAGCCCAAACCGTAAACCATAGTCTCAAGTCTCAAGTTCCTAAACCTTAGCCCCAGACTATAAAACCCTTTGGTACCTTTAAATCCGAATCCGAAACCTCTAAGGACCCCTACTTGGAGGGTCGGGGGACTTAACAAGTAGTTATTTTATAGACTTATAAGTATCATAACCCCAATGAGGATCCCTGTTAGGGTACTTATAAGTCTACTTACTACCTACTAACTAAGTCTCCCGACCCTCCAAGTACTGGGAGCCCAGCCCTGAAAGCCTGAAAGAAAGCCTGAGCTGCAGGTTTATGGGACTAGCCCAAAGGCTCCATGTACCTTGATAATCTATACTTAAGCCTTAAAGGGGTCGCTATATAGGTACTTTAAGGCCTGAGTATATACTATATGGGTACATGGAGCCTTAGGGTAGGTAGCTGGAGTTCTAATTCATCATGAGACTAGCTACGTTGTGTATAACGCCAGTTCCTATGTCCCATGAACTCCAAGTAGGGTGAGGGTTTAGGAGCAACTAGAGAGGGCTGTCTATATGGTTTGCTAGTTTGAGGCCTACTTACGAGGGTTTCTATAAGGGTTAATTACTATCAGGGTGTTGCGGGGTTATAGTACAGGGGACTTTTCAAAGAGAGCAGAGGGTTTCTATTGTGATGGGACTTCGTTGGTTTTGCAGGGCTTGTTTTAAGGCGCCTTAACAAACAGAATAAAGCTTCAGGGTACCTTACTATATGGAAAAAATGAGGGGATGCTGCTACCCAAGATAAGCCGCTAAGCAACCCCCGAAGTTTTTGGTAGGGGAAGATAAAGGCCCTAAACCCTTAGCCCTCAACCCTGAACTCGCAAAGCCAAGTCCTGGGAGTGGATGCCTTGGCGACGGATCCTCTCCGAAGAGCAGTCTCGTCGCTCGCACAAACGCCGTGACATGTCGGACATCGTGGCCGAAGACTCAGGTTTGTGCAGCGAAGACCAAGAAATGTCCGGCTGACCTCACAGGATCTGGACGCCTCTGTCTGTCAGAGCCGATGGCTGCGCCATGACTTCTGCGGGTCGTTTGAACTCTTAGATGGCTTATGTCCACATTGTCCTATTTTACTATGAAGAGCGTCTCGGTTCCATCTAGATCCGGGTCAATACTGTTAGGATAACTATTAATACCTTTCCGACAATTCTTGAAGGCTCGTAGTCATAGTTATTGTACATAGTTGTTTCAAAAACCCTGCTCCAATGATTAATTAAGGCAGTTTGGATCCCAAAAAAGCATGTTTGGCACATGCGGGATAGGTGGGGAAGCTTGAGTTCATTCTCTGCATGCGACAATGCTACAGCTGTTCTTGGCACGTTCGCGTCTAACATAAGGGCCTTACTAGTTTGAATAGGGTTTTGGGGCCCGTTATGCTATAAAT